CCCATTGCAGACCCCAAGGGGAGCTGTGGCCTGGTTTCCTGCAGGAGCTCCTTGGTCTTCTCAGACTCCTTGSTGCAGGCTGCAGACAGACAGAGCCTGGAGGCCTTTGTTTCTGTACCCTGCCCTGTCCCTTCCCCCTGAGGCTGTATGCTTGGGACAGGGGAGAGGAAAGGAGGAGATGTGAGGGTTGGTGGGAGCAGGAAGCCCTGACCAGCACCTGGGAAACACTGACCTGCAGTCCGGGCCTCTACAGACCAACAGGCGCAGGTGATGCGTTTAGGAGATCAGCGCCCACCCGTGGTTGAGTCTGTTCTGGTGCCAGGGTGACATGTTAGCCTGCTTTGTGTTTGGGGTCCCATTGCGGGGAGGCTGATTCATAGCTGGCCTCTGAGTCCTCTTTCCCAGCTCCATGGTTTCAGCCTTCCAGCCCATCTCTCTCCTCCTGTCTGCTACCTGTCCACTCCCTCCTGACCCATCTTGGTGTCACACCCCCCCCCCCCGGGAAGTTTGATGAGCGCCATCCTCAGCCAGCATGGCCTACCAGGAGAGCTGGTGTGCGCCTACTGCCTGGGTTTGCCTTTGGGTTTGGCAAAGCGTGGGCCTGGTCTTCTCCTGCCTCTCACTCCAAGTCCAGCTCCCTGCAGCCCCATGTGGGTCTCCCTCCCCAGGGACTTCCACAAAGCTGGTGTTCAGCTCTGTGTGCACACGGAAGCAGGGCCTCTCCAGATGGGGGACTTGGGTAACATTCACCAGCATGGGTCACAGCAGGCTGCCAGTCAGAGCTGGTTGTGGGTCACAGCAGGTTACAGGTCATAGCAGGTCACAGGTCACAGCAGGTCACAGGTCACAGCAGGTTTTGGGTCACAGCAGGCTACCAGTCAGTGCTGGTCTTGGGTCATAGCAGGTTGTGGGTCACAGCGGGTCACGGGTCATAGCAGGCTGTGGGTCACAGCAAGTCACAGGTCAGCAGCATGTGGGTCACAGCAGACTGTGGGTCACAGGTCACAGGTCACAGCAGGCTACGGGTCACAGCAGGCTGCAGTATAGCTTCGAGCAAGGCCGTGAGTCTCGGAAGGGCACAGAGCAGGCGGCTGTGTGAGGGCCGTGTCCAACTGTCCTTTACCCTGTCTCGTCATGGGCTGGATGTTCAAGTCTGTGGCCTCAGGGATCAGGGGAGGAGGACTCTGAATAAATGAACAAATGTGCAAAGCCGTCCACCCTGTGGACATTCAGGGACAGGCAGTGGGAGTGGTGTGTGCCCAAGGCCCAAGGTGAGATGGTGGCATCATGGCCCTGGGCAGAGGCTGGCCTCAGTGTCGGGCAGGAGCACAGGGCGAGAGTGCAGGCCGACACTGGGGCTGGCCACAGAGGCGCCGTRGCCCTGGGGAAGTCTGGAGCTGTTCCATGTCAACAGACAGCCCTGGTGTCCTTGAGAGGCATGGAGGTGGCTCTGTGTGGGGCCACCTTTGGCCACTGTGGAGCAGGCAGGGCTGGCGGCAGGAGGGTGTGCCTGGTGTGGGTGCGGCCAGGGAGGGCTGACTGGGTGCAATGGACCTGGCAGGAGGCAGTTAGCACTCGGGTTGGTGCAGGCCAGACAGAGAGCCCTGAGGACTCAGAGGCTAAGCGAGGGGACGGCACCAATGTCGGCTGCCAGCCCCTGTCCTCAGAGCTGAGGGAAGGACGGGGCTCTGTTGAGACGGCGCGAGTAATCCTCAGCCCTCCTCTGAGAGAGAGAGCCATGCCCACCCCTGGGCCAAGCAAGCTTCCTGTGCACCCAGGTRGGGTGCCAATTGGCAGTGGGTGAAGTGGGAGGGCGTGTCTGTGCCCCGAGAAGCTCCGTCCATCAGAGACGCATAGGGCATCGGCTATCCAGGGCTTGGAGGTCACAGGAGATTAGGCCCTGCTGGGCCTCAGGGTGAGGTGGTAGGGTGACAAGGATGTCAGAGAGGCTAGTGTGAAGGGCAGGGCAGGGACATGGCTTGGGTGATGTGGTGCGACAGGCAGGAGCCTGGCTGGGAGAGCCCCAAGTGTCTGAGGGGCCATGGGACAGGCTGGTCCTCCTGAGGCCTCCCCGCGAGGCAAGCAGACAGGCTGCACTGAGGGGCACGGGCTTGGAGGCTCAGCCGTGCTGGAYTGGGACCTTAAGGCAAGGGGTCTGGGCTCTCATGCCTCTGTGCCATGTCACCTCGCACCCCAGGAGGTGAGCAGTCTCCCTCTCTTGGCCTGGAGCTGCCGTCTCCCCTTCACTGTTGCAGCATGAGGCCTGCCTTGCCCCTGAGCCTCTGTGGYTTATGCTGGGTGACCATGAGTTTGTTTCTGATGAGGCCTCGAGAGGAAATGTGTCTCCTCTCCCAGGTAACCACCTTCCCAACAGTAGATGAAGACCCCTGGGCCATGGTCAGGCCCAGCAGAAGTGCAGAGAACTAGCTGGAAGGATTTGTCAGACAGCTGTCCTGGGAGTATGGCCACGCAGCCCTGCTGTGTTCTAGCCGTGTGACTCGGGTGAGGTGCTTGGCATCTGTTGTGAAACGGCAACTGCAGCACCTGGCTCTGGGCACAGAGCAGGAGAACCTGTGGACCCGCAGAGAGCCTGGCACACAGAAGGCACCTCATGATCCAGGGCTGCCGTCCTGTCCATCTCCACGTCGTAATGACACAGCCATGTACCCTCTTGTCCTGGCCAGCATGGGAGAACTCTCAAATCTGCCCAGGAGTTCAGAGCATCCTGACCACCAGAGCAGAGGGGAAGCGAGGTCATTAGGAATTGCTAAGCCCACACTGGTGGCCAGAAGGCAGTGTGTCAGGGCCTTGTCACAGGAGGGTCACAGCAGACACTAGCCCTCCTGCCCTGGAAACAGACTCATGCCAGGCTCAGAACAGGGTGGGCAGCCCTTTGTCAGAGGTTTCCCACCTGGGATTCAGCAGGCCACAGACAACAGCTTTGCTCCTGCGCTCAGCATGCAGGGACCTGTCCCGTCATGTTCCCTGATGGCACAGAACAGCCACTGTTTACCCAGGCTGACTGCGTGCGTCCTGTAGTGGATCAGTGACGACAGAGTGCATGGGAAGCTGTGCCCAGCAGTGTGCAAACCCTGTGCAAGGACACGAGCGCCTGACGAGTTTGTGTCCTTAGGTCCTGGAGCAGCTCCCAGATGCACAGGGAGGCTCTGTGTGCCCTCTGGGTGTCTTCTGCTCATAGACCAAGGGGATGGCCCCTTGCAGTCTAGTGTGTTGGGGTTCTGGTACCTGACGTACGCCTGTGTCTTATGGGTGCCCTTGTCTGGGGGACCTCTGTCTCCCGAGCATCCTGGGTTCCTGTGAGGGTTTCCATGGCAACAGAGCAACTACAACTCGTCTGTGGGAAATTACAGCCCTGGAGTTCACCAAGCAGCTTTGGAGACGTTAGAGGGGTACAGAGGTCACCCCCAACACCACACCCCAGGTGACTTCACTCTTGAATGCCAGCAAATAACTCGCCCGCTGCGGCTCTCTGCAAAATGCCTCTCCCATCCTGGGGCAAGAAGGCCCTCTCCAGATGCTCACAGGCAGAGGGGCTTCTGGCCGGTGGGGGGTGTCAGGAGGAGCACTGAGGCCTCTCTGCCCCTCTCGGCCCCTCTCGCCCCTCTCAGCAGGGCCGCCTCTGCCTGCTCCTGGGAGTGTCCACAGCCTCAGGAAGCTGTCCCCTGCTTCTCACTGAGGGGAGCCTTTTTCCCTATGAGTGGTGAAGGCTACCAGCCTCCAAGAGTCTAACTAAGTGAAGATAATGAGGCTAAAAACAAATAAGATCACAAAATAATAAATAAACAGAAAGGGATAGCCAGCCAGCCCAGGAGAACAAGGAAGGCAGGCTGTGACCCAAGCCCCTTGTGCTGGGCCCTCCTTGTGTTGCTGGTGGCTATGTAGGACCCTCAGATGTCAGGAGCCCTAGGGAGAGCAGGTGTGGGACAGGAGACGGGCATGCCAGGCTCGTGTCACTGAGCCACATCCCCAACCTGAATCTCCTCACTTTTTAGGGAATTTGAACTTTCACCTTAAAGATCCAAATCTCAAAATATTGACAACAAAGTCAATTTTTTAATAATATATATATAAAAAAAGAAGAAAACTGAATTGAATTTGACATGGGCCCCTTCTGGTCTCCTCCCTTTGGACCATGTGGCCAGTGCTTCCTGTGAGAGTCCCTTGGTCTGTCGTGTGCCCCCGCATGTGAGGTCATTCCTCAGCATGTGCTCTTGTGGCCAAGGCTGGTCGTGGTCACTGAGTGTGCTGCTCGGGCCTCAGCGGCTCTGATGCCCTCCCTGTTCTGCTGCAGGGCTTGGTGGTGACCAGCCACGGGGCACAGACAGGAGCAGTCTGTGCTCAGAGCTAACATATGAGTGCTGGAACTGGGCCCTGGGGCTTGGACTCTGCCTTTTGAGCAAAGAGGGGGGGGGATGTCCTGAGGCCGGGACACGCCCCAGGAGCACACCCCTTCACTCAGCTCCAGAAACCTGGCCTGAATGACACTCCCTTAGGACTCTTCCTGCGGACTGTGACCTCTGGTCCACGGGAGCCACAGGTGGGGCCAGAGATGGAGCAAGAGGCCACGTGGGGGGCGTGGGCCTGGGGTGGACATCCATGTAGCGGTGGTGTGACTGCAAGGCTTCACTGCCTGTCCCCTGTGGTAACCGTAAGGTCCTCCAGCTGAAGTGGGAGCCCCAACCCGGAGGAGAAGGGGTGGCCTTGCAGAATGTCCACCAGGGGAGAGGAGCGGGCACCCTCATGTCCGGGGACCGCAGAGGCCCTGCAGCTCTGGTCCGATGCTCCCAGCACTGAACACAGAGGCAGGGGGTGGGGCCTCGCTGGGCCAGAGTTCCCAATCCACTCTGCCTCCTATGGGGACACCGGCCGTGGAGAGGGGGTGAGGGACCAGAGCTGCTCTTGGGGGTGGCGGGAGAGGCAGTGTGGCTGGTGGAGCATGGTGGGCTGTGCCGGCGCTCAGGGGCCTCCTGTCCCCACAGCACATGCGTGAGGCTGCTGAACGGCGGCAGCAGCTGGAGTTGGAGCATGAGCAAGCCCTGGCTGTCCTCAACGCTAAGCAGCAGGAGATCGAGCTTCTGCAGAAGGTGAGGCTGGGTGGGAGGGGGCGGGAGGGGGGCGGCGGGGGTGCATCGTGGGCTGCAGGGCCCCTCCTCCCTGCAGGTCCCCCGTGTCTTTACTCTACCCTGCTCTGCCTTCTCTTGGGCTGCCTGGAAGCCACATCCGGTGGTGCACAACTGGGTGTCCACCCTGGGAGGCCCGGGAGGGTGCTCTGACCCATGCCTGGCACGGACTTGACCGCTTCGGCTTTGGGGAGGAGCCACCTGCAGCACAGACCCCAGTGACAGTGCAGAGATGTCCACCCTGCCACCCCRCCTGGAGTGCACCGTGCCAGAAATGCAGAACAGGGTCCCAGTGTTGTYGTGTGGGGTGGGGATGGGACCTCAGTTCCACCAAGCACCCATCCAACTGCCACGCTTGTGTGGACTGCGGCATGTCCGTACCGTGGCCCAGTTGGGCACCACTGAAAGGGGAAACTTGATTTGTGTCTGCTGTTGGCACGGTGTGTTATTAAGTGAGCAAGTTGGTGAGCAGTATTTATAGCAAGATTGGGAGGGGGGAGGGAGAGAGAGAGAGAGGGAGAGGGAGATGGAGGGAAGGAGGAAGAGAAAGAGGGGGAGAGAGGGAGAGAGAGGGAGAGGGAGAGGGGAGAGGGAGAAGCTGAGGGAGGGAGGGAGAAGCAGAGGGAGGGAGGAAGAAGAGAGGAATCAAGAGAAAGAGGAGGAGAAAGGTGAGACGGACAGCAGGGAAGGAGAGAAGCAGGGACCAGCCAGCCAGGAGTCAGGTGCGTCCCCAGGCCCCTTTGACTGGTGGGCTAAGGATGGTGGCCCTGCCCTTCAATGTGCTGTCTCACAATGAGTAGGAAGTCCCTCTTGCAGGAACAAGGGGCTGGCTGGCCCCGAGGAACTAGAACTATTCTAGACCTGAGAACAGTGTCTCCCCAATGCCCAGTGTCCTGGCTCCTRCCCATTCCTCGTCCTGGCAGGACAGTGGGCCCTCCGGCAAGAGCACCTGGTTGGGGCTAGCAGAGGGATGAGACCCCAGAGGGCTGTGGTCACTGCTCATGGCTCATGGCCCTGGCCAGGCCTTGGGTCTCCACGGAGGCCCGTAGCCATCCACGACCWTTCTAGTCCTTGACCTCACAAGGGCCACGTGATGCTTCCCACCAGGGCTGGGGGTGAGAATCGCCACTGTTCTCCTCCAAAGTTGATTAGCAAGGGCTGGGGCAGCAGCCAGATGATTCCTGGTGGCCTTCCTCCAGTGGTTCCGGAAGCCTCCTTCCAGGGGTCGACTTCACCAAGCCAGCGCTGATGGGAACCCACAGAACCTCCGTTGCTGCCGCAGAAGTTGGCTGTCCCCTGGTAACCACGTGTGTGGTGCCTGGGAGGAACCCCGCTGGGTTGCAGGTGGAGGGACATACGGCTCTGGTCTTCTTCCATCCTGCCCGGGGGGCCTCCCCCATGGCCGGGAGGGAACCTGCATTCATTCATGTCAACGGGGAAGCCACATCCCCAGGCTGGCCCCGTCTGACACACAGAAGTCTGCAGAACTGCAAGTACTGACCAGCAAGGACTCTGCTTCTGGACAGTGATGAAGTATCTGACTCCGAGGAGGAGAGCAGACTGCTCCTGGTCAGCCTCTCACTTYGGCACCCACTTTCCCTCGCTCTCTGTTTACTTATTTTGTGTGGCTCATGGTTCTCTCGATTTTTGGATGCACTGATGCTTCCTCTGGGGGAGGAAGAGAGACCAGATGAACTATGGACGCACCAATTGTGTAATTTCTTGGAAATTCTGAATCTTAAAGCAGAGACTGACCGTCAAGTGAAATGAGATTGGTGAGGTCTCCCTGGAGTCCACTTCCCAGCCAGTTCCACCCTGGATGTCTGTCAGGAGGCCTGGGCTGACCGTCCACCTGCTCACTTGTTCATCAAGGACTGGTGGCCCCTGGCTGCCACTCAGCTGGTCCTGGGAAAGGGRTGGCGTTGTCCAGGGAGCCTGGCCTCAGCCCAGTGGGAGCAAGTGAACACACACTAGGACCAGGCAGCCCGAGCCATGGCAGGCGCCCCGCGGGAAATGCAGAGAGGAGTGGAGGTGTGACAGGTGGTGGCCGTGGGTGGCGGTGACATCTAGTGAGCAGAAGATGCCCCCCTGCCACGATCCAGGGAAGGACTCATGTCCTCAGCAGGAGCAAGCTCAGCAYGATGGAGAGGACAGAGGCCAGGGAGGCAGGCTGTGGGCATCGAGGGGACAGGGCTTGATCTTGGACTGCAGGCACAGAKCTGGAGCCTAACCCTCAGGCTACCAGGAAACTGGCATCCAGCCCAAGACGTYCTTGTCCCCCCACCAGGATAACAGTCAGTCACCGTGCTTGGCCTGTCCGGGCCCTGCGGGGGTCTGAGGGGTGCTGACACAGGAGAGCTACCTGGTGTCTCTGTCCACATCCCCGAACCCTCTTGGAGCCCACCCTCTTCACACCACCAAGCAGCTAATTACCCCATGTGTGGACTTCATGCCCAGGGCTTGGTTCTCTGCCCTCATTTTCTCTGACCCAGAGGCCCCGTGTGCACAGCAGGCTTCCAGGACCGTCCCAGCCTGGCTCTGTCCTGTCCACACACCTCTCTAAAATCACCCTCTAACTGAAAGCTGGTGACCTCACCTGGCCCTGGGGGCTTAAGCCCCACCTGTGTGTGGCCTCCTGAGTTTGAGTCTCAGCCCAGATGCCCCCTGGGAGCCCCAGTTCTTTCCCCAGGCTCTGGGGCATCACCAACCTCCCGCCYCACTGACCCCCGACCCCGGTCCTCAGCACTGCACACCTGCCGCCTGACCTGGCTCTGCAGATGGTGGCTGTGTCCCCTGGTCTAGCTCTGGCTTCCTACTGGAGTTAATTGCTGCCCTGGTCATCGCCCGCATCCCACGCCCAGTCCCAGACTCCCGGCTGGAGCCAAGAGCTCCTTCAGGACCGTCCTTGCCCTCCCTGATCCTCAGCACCCACATTCCCCGAGCTCCTGCTGGATGGAGCCCTGGCCTCTTCCTGCAGGCCAGGCTGCTCCGGAGGCTGCATGCGGAAAGGGGTCCCGGGAATCCCTCTCTGCTGGACCTTCCGCCCTCCAGATCCCAGGAGCCCTTTCTCTGGACGCAGAGGGTGCATGAGCAGCCAGGAGTGTGTCTGGAATGTGGCTGGGTGCTGTCCCTTCCTGGCACTGGGGCCACTTCTCCAGCCACAGCCATCCTGAGGACAGGCTGGACACGCAGACAGCAAAGGCCAGGGAGCAGGGCCCATCGCTGGTGCAGGTGCCTTCSTTTCCTTGGTGGCCCCTCCCCCTTACAGTGTGGGGCTGGGGGAGGCCGTGACAMTGTGCCAAGGCACTGCTATGTTGAAGGGCAAGCAGGCAGAGGGACCCACGGCCTCATACAAGGCTGTCCTTGTGGGAGTCAGGCGAGATGGGCAGCCTACCAGCCTTCTTCCCAGGGGCCTGGGCAGAGTAGGAAGGCAGGGAGGCCAGGGTGAGGCCCGTTCTGCTGTAGCCACAGCTTCCCGCGGGATGGGGAGGGAGCGCTCACAGGGCCTTGCTGTCACTCAAGGGGCATGAGCACCTCAGGTCAGCAATGCCCAGGGACACGGCCAGGCCAGACAGGGTCAGCCTGGGCTCTGGATAATGCTGCACTGAAGGATGCATCTGCAAGGGACTGGCATGGCCCTTTCCGCAGAAGACTGGCCTTTTTGCCTTTGCTGGACCACCAAACCTGTCCCCTCTTGGGGCTTTTGTCTAGAATGCAGGTCCCCAGGTCATTGCAGAACTGGCTTATTTTGTCAGGGAGTCTGTGCTCTACTGCCCATGTGGTACAGGGCTTGGGACGCCAAATGTGCCCGCTTGTTCCTGTGCTTGCCTTTTGTCAGGACACAGCGTCCACATCCCAGGGCCTTGCCTGACACAYAGTAGGTGCTCAGGAGCATCTGAGGAAAGCTTATGGTCAGGCCAGAGTACGAGGACAGGTGCTAGATTCGAATCCTYCCATGCCCATGGATTGAATTCGCAGCCCCCCCCCCACAGCCCCCAAGAGCTGTGGGCACAGGACCCTGCATGTCAGCAATGGGAACCTGAGGACAAAAGCGGGCTAAAGACATGGTGACAACTCCGAGCCCTTCTCTCTAGGCCAGAGAGACCCCTGGAGTCCACCAACCCCCTGTTTTGTGGGGGTTTCAGTCTTGGGTGGGCCACGTCCAGTCCTACAACCACCTATGGAATGAGCAAAGAGTTTCCATTTTAAAAATGCATCTAAGGATCTGACCAGGTTGACTATTGTTTAAACTTCTTGTGGCTGGCGAGCTGATTGTGGTCAGTTTCAAGGCTGTTGTTGAGATGTCAGAGCTGGAGAGGCCGCGGCCTCGTACTCTGGCTCAGGCCACCTCCCTGGGATATGGGAGGCCATATCCTGTTGTKTGGGGAGCAGGCGCGGGGCTCTGCACTTCTCCAGACACACTCGGGTGTTGGTGTATGTTGCCAGCTTGCTGAGCCTGCCCAGGGCAAAGGCGGGGTACCCATGGAGGCTCCACGGGTTCCCAGGGTCTTGTTTGCTTCCTGTGGAACTGACTTGAAAGACACTGATGAGGGCCCTTGGCTCCTCCGTCATACCAACCCACTGCCATGGCCCCTGGGCAATTCCTGTTCTGAGTGTCAAGGGGATTGTGTTGCTCTTGTGCCTGCATGGCTGGCTTGGAGCCTCTGCTGCAGCCTCCTGGGCAGCTGGTCCTGGGACAGCAGCCCCTCCTTCCAGCCTCAGGGGCCCAGGGTGCCCAGGGGCCTCAGTCCTCTGGAGTCACACCCTCAGTGTGGTCCATTCTGCAGGGTGGYACCTGCAGGCCCGTGGATGGGGCCCTGGGAGGGAGCCTCGCTCACTGCTGCTGAGATTGTGCAAGRACTTGGCTCTGCCAGGTTCATCTGTTAACTTTTGTTCTAACTGATTGTCCAGTGGTCCAGCCTGCAGGCAGCCTGACAACAYGAGCCTACATTTCTATCCAGAGCCCAGGACTGAATTGCTGCCAGMCTGGCTGGGCGGTGCCGGCCGCCTTGGCACTGCCCTGTGGGCCTGCCGGGCGAAGGCCTCCCGATTCCACGAATGCCACGGGGCATTGTTTGTGCAGGCCCGCAGGTCCCCTGACCACTGGCCTTTTTCACATTCTGTTATTTATTATGGCTCTGGTGGGTTTTTCTGAGAAAGGAACAATTTTGAGCACTTGCCATCTGGGCTGGCTGGAGAAGAGCATGATTGACAAGCGGAGTCCCGGTCACTTGCCTGGCTCTCGGCCCCTCCTGGGAGGCGTGGGAGGATGCTGTGGGCGTGGATGGACCCCGGGAAGTGCCAGCCCTTTCTCATGCTAGTTGGTGCCAGGACCCAGGTCCCCCTCTGTCCACCCACACACAGTCTTCCCAGGGAGAAGCCGCAGCTGCGAGGACAGTGCCTACTTGCCTATTTGTGATGGACGATGCCCCAGACGTATTTCTCCAGGCTGAACAGTGGGTCTCAGCTGAGCATGGGGTCTTTCTTGGTGCCCGATACTCCTTCTCCAGATATCAGTGCTTCTGCCTTGGGAGTGTCTGAGCCCACTGAGCCCTGCAGAGTGGGGTGCACAGTGGGGGTGGTGGGGGGTGCACCCAAGGAGCCCTGGTTCTCAGACCCCCAATGAGCTTCCATTTCTCCAACTTTACAATGAGGGGTGCCATGGTCTTGATGGTGGATGACGGTGTTCATTCAAGGACTCTCGTCTTCAAGAGATGGAAAATCCACAAAGGAAATCTTGTCCTCACCAGTAACTGGAAACCTGACTTCAGATATGGCTGATCCAATGCTCAAACCAGCTGGTTCCGACACACCTAAATCCCAAGTGCCATTAGAACTCATTTCTCTCTGGATCGGCTCCCAACCTTCTCTAGGGTGACTCATTCTGGGTTTCCCCGTGGTGGACCCTGGCCATGCCAACCTGGCTCCAATTTCTACTTCCCTCAGGTTATGGCCAAAAAGGGAGAAATCTCCCTCCTTCCCAGAAGACCCAGGCCAAGTATCATTGCTCAACTTAGGCTTCGTGCCCCTGCCGATGCACCAGTCTTTGAGAGTGTGGGACCTTGCTCATTTCCTCAGGGCAGGGGAGGGTAGATCCCAGCAACTTCAGGGGCCTTCCAGGAGAGGAGGTGAGGTCACAAACACAACTTAGGTCATCACGATGCTGGAGCGTCCAGGTCGGAGAGGACAAGGAGCAATGTTGCATTCCAAGGTTGCAGGAGTTGCCCTGTGCAGGGCCGTGGCTGTCCTGAGSCCGGAATGTCTTTGGTGACATTTGTAACATTTCCTCTGTAAGACCCCCACTCATGGCCCCTCCTTCCAGGCCAGGGAGATCTCAGCCCCTGAGCTGTTTGGGGTCACTCTTGCTGTTCGCCGTGTCCCTAAGGGTGAGGATGTGGAACCCGACAGCATGTGATGGCCTTGGCAGAACCACTCTGCTCTTTGGGGCTCAGCGTCCTTCCCTGGGCCCCTCTCAGGAACAGGACAAGACCACCCACCCTCAGGCCCAGCCACATCCCAGGGCCCACCCTGTGTGGACCACAAGAGCATCAAACCCAGCCAAAGCCGCTCCTGGCCCTGGGGGAGACCCTGGGAGCKAGGGGCCCCATCTCAGAGCCACCAGCCCCTCCTTTCCTCTGACCACTGCTCTTCTCTCTCTCCATGCGGAAGGCTCAGGTTGAAGCTAAGAAAGAGCACGAGGGAGCCGTGCAGCTGCTAGAGGTGAGTGGGCCACGTCTTTCTGGGGCCATGTCCACCTTTACCCCCAGGGCGATGTCCACCTTTTCCCCCGGGGACACTGGATCATGGAGGGGAGAAGCCCTCGGCCACACAGCTGGCGTCAGAGCTCCTGTCTCAGGGGCTGCTCTTAGGGGAAAGCCAGGACTGGCCCCTGCTGGCCTGGGAATGGTCCCTAGGACTGTGGGCGAGCTCTCTCTGGGCCTCCTGTCCTCTGGTGGGTGGTGGGAGGACGTTCTTAAGGTGTGGCACCAACCATGGGGAGGCACTTATAGGATCAGATAAAGGACAGCCTAGCAGTCAAAGTGGTCAKTGCCACCAAGGCACTTCCAAGGGTACCGTCCTCATGGGAGTGACCTTTTTCAGCCCCCCAGGGAGGGGGACTTGGAAGGAAAACTGCTGGGCTGGGTGGCTTCATGGCAGTGGACACTGCTTGCCCTGGCTTTTGGTACAAGGCCAGCCTCCTCTGCAGAAGGTGGACAGGCATCAAGGAAGGGCTCTTGGGGTCATTCTGGGGACCTTGGCCACCTGTACTCTTCATGCATGCGGAGCAGCCGGAGGCCTGAAGACAAGGGCATACAGTGAGCCACCCGCTAGGGGTAGGCAGAGTGGACTGCCCAGCGCCACTCCTCCTGGCCACCAGCCCCCAGCGAGTCCAAGCTCTCCAGATAATGGKCAGGGTCACCCCTTAAGATGGCCTGTCCCTACCTCCAGGGAAGAGCCTCCACCAAAAGCAGCATGTGCACCCTTGTGTGGCCTGGGGGAGGTTCAGTCACCGTCACGTACATGTGAAGTTGATTTTCCAGTGTGTCCTTTAGTGAATGGGTGTCAGGGTGCCATGTGAACAGGGTAGGAAACACAGCTGGGAGACTGCCCTCCCCAGGCCCCGCTGCCCCAGAAGGCCAGGCCCCGCCTGCTCCACCCTCCCATGGCTGCAGCCCCTGCCTCCAGGCCCCCAGAGCTCGTCCCTGGGGCTCCCCACTGGGGCTTCCCCTGGGCTGTGCTCAGGGTCTGCTGTAGCCCCTCACCGCATGCTTTGACAGGCGAGAAGCATGTGCCTGGGTMGGGCAGAGGGGAGGGCGGCGTGGCTGCTGGGAATTGTCTATTCACAGTGTCCTTTTGTGATTGTGTCTCGCTTGGCTCCCCACGCAGAGCGCCCTGGACAGCATGCAGGTACTCCCAATAGCCCTGCCCCTGCCCGTGTGCTGGTGCCCCTCAGCCGAGCCCCGGGCCAGCCCTGCCCTTCCCCTCCCTTGGGCTCCTTGAGGTGCTGCTGTGGGTGGGGCTATGGGCTCTCAGCTTGGGGGCCCAGGAGCTTGCACTATCCTGSAAAGTGCTGTCCCCTGGACTGTGGGGCTGGCCCGGGGCCTATGCTCTCCTGTGTCCTGCCAATGCTGTCACATAGTCCTGTGAATTCAGATGACCAATGGGGAAGAGAGGTTGTTACGATGATCTGGTCCTTTGGCAGCCACGGGAYTGGGAGGGCACAGCTCAGTGCCCAGAATTCAGCACGGGTCATCCGAATTCACACTACACCCTGGGTGCTGTACCCTTCTGTCCTGCCTGCCCTGTGCCAACAGCAAGCTCCCTCCACGGCTGAGCGGGAAGCCTGGTTCTCCATGGGGAGTGGAGGTGGAATATGAGCCGTACTGTCCCTGGAGCCGGCTTTTGGGCATTTTGCAAGCCTCTGAGCCCACTTAGCATTCAGAAAAGGGCCAGCTCTTCTCTGCTGGAGGAGGGTCCTCAGGTGGACCCAGRCCCCGTGGTCTTGGCATCTCCTGGAAGCTTGCCGGAGGGGCAGACTCTGGAGCCTGGGATGGGTGTCTGTGATCTGTGTGCCCCCCAGGGATGGAGGCCGCAGGGTCTGGTGACATTATTGGAGAGTCCAGGGCCCGAGGCCGCAGGGTCTGCAGAGTCCAGTGTTGTTGTTGGAGAGGCYGCCAGGCCAGCTGCTGGGAGGAGGGGATCTTTTGGGGGTGCGGTTCTCTGAAGCCTGGTTAGCCCATATTCTGGCTGTAACAGAGCTCCTCCCCCCGCCCAAGCCACCTACCTATCTCCCAGGATTGAGATATGGATGTAAAYTGGACCCTGATGTAGACAGCACTCCGCTAGGTACAGAGAGGYCCGCGGAAGCTCACCTGGGAGGACTGACCCTGCCCTTAGACGCCGCGTGCGGAAGTCCAGCCTTGGGACGCTGTAGCCCTGTTTCCTGGAGTGTGAGTGGGCAGCGTGCAGGTGGAGCCAGTCCCACATGAGCCCCAAGAGCCTGGCGGCCAGGAGCCCCACCCTGCTCCGGCTTCCTGCAGCCCCTGCGGGGAGGACAGGCTGTGTTCTGGCAAAGCTGAGTCGGAGGTGGTGGGACTGCAAGCCCCACGCACAGCTCCACTTGACTGAGGCCCTGGCCTGCCTGCCTCATCCCTGCCACCTGCAGTYCCAGAGTCACAGCACCAGAGCGGGGAGCGTGACAGAACTTAATCTTTAAAGCCACGGATGAGGTTGTCATTCTCTCATTTCACTGGTTAGGCAATCACGGCACAGAGACCTGAGCCACTTTCCTGGGGACACACAGCTCATAATTGGCAGAGCTGGGTCSTGAGGGCCAGTCTGCCCAGCAAGGTCACCTCCTAAGCACTGAGAAAAGTCCTGCAAGGAAGAGGTTCCCTGGACGGCAGTGCTGCCACACAGCACTTACCCAGTTCCCCTGCGATGGGCATCAGGAGCAGGCCTGACTGGCCAGAGGCAGAGGGACGCCCTGTGATGACCTGAATTTCCAACAGCTCGGTGCACTTGAGGGGAAGCTGCCAGCTGGACAGGCCTGGGCATTGGGCACAGATCAGTTAGAGACCCAGCCTGAGGTGCCACCCCAAGTCCTGCGCCTTGTCCATTCAAGCATGGGGCAGCTCAGATACACAAGCCAGTCCACACCTCCTGAGTATGTCCAGTCCCACCAACAGTTGCCTGTCCTTGYTCATGCTTAGGAGAGAGCCGGTCACCTCATGGGGACACTGGCATGCTCATTAGCACACCCTGGGATCAGTGGAGACACAGCCAGCCATGGCTCCGGGAAGTGTGGCTCTCCGGACAGCTGTGGGCCCTCCCCAAAGGTGGGATTCTCAGCATGGCCATTTGCTGTCCTGGAGTGGACGCCCCACTCACTGGGCCAAAGGACTGTGAATTACAGATTGCAGAGCCCCAGTCCCAGGACACAGTGATTGGTGTGTGGGGACCTGTTTGGGACAGCTGGAGGTCAGCAGGGCCACAGGGCCACACAGCCTGCCCTAATTTGCCACTGGACCTGCAGACGCAGGGACAGGACTTGCACTTTCAGGATCGCTGCGTACAGCCCTCAGCCCCCTGCCTCCAGTGGCCCCGGCCCTGCCAGACCCTTGAAGCTTAGAATAAAGGGTTTCACCCTGAGACAGATCCCTGCATCCCTTGAAGAACTGGAGTTGGGACCAGAGCGGGCTGGACAGAGCCACACCCGGGCCATGCTCCCCTCCTCCTGTGGGCAGCCCCGTGCCATCGGCTGCACTGCAGAAGGCACCATGCACCACTCACAGTCAGCTCCCAGCACCTGCCCAGGACCTCYGAGCTCAGCAGGCTGGAGCTCCACAGTCTTGTATGGGTACCGGCAGGAACAGCACACCTGACACCACTACTGGGGCCAGAGGCTCGCAGTCCCCGGCCAGTGATCTGTACCGTGAAGACTGGACACTCCCTCTGCCCTCTGAGATGAGTACCGTGTAGCCCAGAGCTTCCTGCCGACACTCTGCCGTGCCTCATCACCTTGGCCACTTTCCACAAAGGGAAGCAGAGTCCAGCCTCCTGTGGACAGGACAGCCTCAAGGCCTTGCATCTCACACCTGCGGGGACCTGGGGAGTGGGGCCTTTGGCTCAGTGCAGGACGATCCCGTTGTTGGAGGCCTGGGGGCCAAGTCGAGCCCAGCTCCCTCTCTCCTGAGAGCCCCCGTGCTGCTCAGGGAGGCCGGCCCCACCCAGACTTCCTCTGCCTGTGAGCCAGGGCCCTCAGGCTTCCTTGGCAGGCTCTCCACTGGACAGACTTCTTCTGTGGTGACCAGCCTGTGTGGACACCTTCTCTGCGCCACATTATAGACCCAGTGCTGAGCAGGTGGGACCGACACAGGGGCAGACATACCCAAGGGCCCACAGCCGCAGGCCCTGGCATGAGGCATTCCTGGGTGCAGAGTCCTGTGCAGGCTCATGTGACCTCAGCTGTGCTCATGTCCCTGGGTGGGACATAGCATCCTCCAGCACTGGCCGTCCATGCACTGCTGTCCTGGTCTTCACTGTGGCTGCCCGGCCTTGTGGTGTCGTAGTTTTAAGACACTATTTACTTTTTGAACCTCTTTATTTTGAAGTACTTTAGAGTCACAAAAGCTCAAAGGCTTCCAGAGTCACAGAGTGTTCACTGGACCGCAGGGGAGTCGGCGGGGATCTGGTTCAGGGGCAGGGCCGCCTCCTTTGGACCTTTCCAGGGTCCACTCACACTCCTTTTCTGGTTCTGGTCACAGTTGTGTGGAATTTGGTTGCATGTCTGGGCCCCGTGACCATGACGGCCAGGAGCATGGTCGGCCGTGCCACCTGAGGACGTCACACCTTCCCATCCGGGCCCTGAGGACCATGGCTATGCTCATTTCAAGGGCTCCTCAGAAGACACCTCTGTGGGCACCGCTGCAGGGGGGCTGGGGGCAGTGGCTCTCCTGGGGCACCGAGAAGTACCTGGAGCTGTCTAAACCCGGGTTCCAGTTCCTCCATGCACCCCAGGCGTCTCACCTGGCACACAGGTACCTGCAGCCTCTGGTGCCTCCGGTGAGCTCAGGCCCTTCCCAGGCCCTTCCTGTGATGGCATGTGGCCGCTGTTCCCAGGAGCCCCTGTCTGCCAGTGTCTCAGGCCCCAGAACCTGACGTCACCGCGGCTCACCCCAGGCTCTGGCTCTGTGCCTGCCTCAGCCAAGGCAGCCATCCTGGGCAAGCTCATTCAGATTTTTTAAGAAGAATCCTGCTGATTTTTTTTAATGAATTGGAGAAATTAATTATAGGCTCGGGACATGTTAGGTTTATTTTTAGAAATCCATGATCTCAGACACAAATAGCACTTCATTCTGGACGGAGGAACCAAGGGGCTGCAGCTCCAGCGGTGGGGGAGGAGGGGAAGGGTGGGGGAGGGAGGAGGGGGAGGGGGAGGGAGGAAGGGGAGGAGGAGCCGCAGGGAAAGCTTGCCGCAGCTGGCACAGGTGCCTCCAGCCTCCGCTCCCACTTTCCCTCGGGCCTCAATAAAACAGACATCTGTTGAGCGCTGCCTGCATACAATGCCTGGCCCATGCCATGGGCTGGGTGTGGCAGGAACCCAGCAGATGAAGACCTGACCTGGAGGTGATGTTTTAGCAAGGGGCAGATGATGTGCAGAATCAGCGCTGGCACAGACAGGGCGTCCCAGCTGTCCTAGAGTGGGGGACAGCAGGACAGGGTGTGCACACAGATGGCACAAGCCATGCTATAGGAACATGGTAGCTGCACATCAGGACTTCCCGCTTTGCCTCGATTTGTTTATTAAGCACCGACTGTGTACCTGATGTACCGAGAGGCACTGAGGATGTGTCTGAGAAGCAGGACGTGAAGGCGCAGGGCTTTGCGGTCCATGGAGACATACGAGGGACAGGATGGGAGGTGGTGGGTGCAGGGAAGGAGGAGTGTGGGGCAGGGACCACCTCCCCCTCCACCTGGGCACCGGCCTTGCCTGGTGCAGGAACTCCTGCAGCAGAGGGGATGGGGAGGGGGCTTCACTGGTGCACGCTGGCCCTGAGCGTTGGGCAGCCACAATGGGGTCAGGAAGCAGCAGAGAGCAGAGAGGCTCGGAGGCCGGCTACGGCCTGGCCCAGGCCTGTGCCTGAGGAGGGAGCTCGCTGGGCGGCCCTTCTCCTGTGTGTCCTGAGGGAGGCTCTGTCTTTGTGAAGTGGGCAAATGGCAGCGAGTTTGTTGACCTGTCCAGCAGAAGGACATTCCCTTATTCTGCTAGAGGTGGTGCCCTCTGGGGTGGGCATTGCAGGTGGGTCAGCCACCATGCTGTCCCAGCCTGGGCTGGTCATAGCCTCATGCTACCCACCTCCACCAGCTGCAGCCAGGCATGCCCTGGGTGCTGGCCACACTCAGAGCCTGGAGCAGCTGTGCTGGCTGTGAGCTGTGCGTTCCCGGGATTCTTGGCACCTGTGCTTTCTCCTGTGGCTGACAGCCGGCTGCATGCAGAGCTAGGCATTGGGCTGGGACTTCCCATGAGGTGGTAGATAGGCCTGCCATGCACACAGCCCACAGTCCTGGCCACGTGGGCCCCCAAGGCCTCCTGCTGACTGACCCCCTCCCACCTCTGCTGTGCAGTGCAAGGTTCGAGAGCTGGAAGAGAAATGCCGGACGCAGAGTGAGCAGTTCAGCCGGCTGTCCCGGGATCTGGAGAAGTTCCGGCAGCAGGCCGGGAAGATTGACCTGCTAGGCAGTGGGTCGGTGGCCTCGCTGGACATCCCCTTGGCCCCCAGCAAGCCTTTCCCGCAGTTCATGAATGGACTAGCCACCTCCATTGGCAAAGGTGAATACTGGGCCTCCCTGGGCCCGGGGGTGGGGAAAGGATGTCTTCCGCCTCCCAGCCAGGCTGCATGGGCAGAGGCTTGGCAATGGACCCCACACAGCCGGGCTGGCCCTGCCCAAGGCTGAAGAGCACTGCACTGTGCACCTACGCCAGCTTCTCTTCCTCATTTCTTCCCTCCCCTCTCTCCCTCCTCCCCTCTCTCCCTCCTCCCCTCTCTCCCTCCTCCCCTCTCTCCC